AGCAGCAGTTAAGAAATCAAACGATGCAGTGCACTGGGCAAATCTGCTGCAAAAGACCTCTTTAAGGTGTTTAAAAAAAAAAAAAAAAAAAAGATGTCACGCTGAAGACTAAGGTGCGCCTGACCTAAGTCATGGTATTTTCAATCACCTCATATGCATGCAAAAGTTGGACAATAAATAAGGCAAATCGAAGAAGAACTGATGCCTTTGAATTACGGTGTTGGCGAAGAATACTGAATATATCATGGACTGCCAAAAGAACAAACTCATCTGTCTTGGAAGGACAGCCAGAACGCTCCTCAGAAGCAAGGATGGTGAGACTTTGTCTCAAATACTTTGGACATGTTATCAGTAGGAATCAGTCACTGGAGAAGGACATCATGCTTTGTAAAGCACAGGTCAGTGAAAAAGAGGAAGACCCTCAAGGAGATGGACTGACACAGTGGTTGCAACAAAGGGATCAAGCATAACAATGATCATGAGGATGGTGCCAGGCCCGGGCAGTGTTTCATTCTGTCGTACGCAGGGTCACTATGAGTTGGAAATAACTAGATGGCACCTAACAACAACAACAGTCAAAGACAGATTTATATTTTGCTGGTGTTCAAAAGTTTGCTGAGCAAGCGATACATTAGCTGGTAAGAAGCATTCTCTGGGTCTACAAATTTGACCTTAATTTCTATTCAAATTCCACGCTTTCACTGTTTTCCTCAATTCAGAGGTTGAATTATTTAAGATAACCTCCAATAAAAAACTATGGAAAAAATATAGGAAAATAAGCTAAATAATGCAAGGTAGGGTAATTTAATTCTTAACAATGGTCCTTTCCTTAGAAACACAAAAACATTTAAAATACTACTCTAACCATTTATTCACTTTCTATGATCTTGAGCCAATTAAGCTCTCTAAGCCTTGGTTTTCTCCTCTGGAAAAAGGGGTAAAAAGAGAAGCTCTAACTACCACATGGGATTGTTGAGAGGATTATGAAAACATAATGCACGGTAGCCAACCACTATGAAAACGTAAGTTTTCAATATATGTTAACTGTTATCATTTAAATCAAAACTTCAGTGCCATATGACCTCTACCTATCGAAAGACTGTATTGTCTATGGCAATCATCTCCATTAATCCATTCATGCAAGCCTACTCAACAGCAATAACTTCACAAGCACTGAGAACAGGTGTCTTGAGTCTCTCAGCAGCCTTCCTGGACTATGCATTTCCTCTTTGAGTTAGGTAATGTGCTCAGGGCACTATCCTATCACTGTTCTCAGCACACGTCCTTTTATTACTTGAGAGCTCCTTGCGGGCAAGGACTGTGTCTTATTCATTCCTGTATTCCCAGACTGCAGCTCAATACTTCTTAACCCTGACTCACATTAGAATCACATGGGGAGCTTATAAAAATATTAATGCCTGGGATCCATCCCAGATCCATTAAACCATAATGAGGGGAGGGGAAACAGCTTAGGTAGGAGGCATTTTTTAAAGATCTTCATATGATATTAATGTGCTGTCAGTGTTGACTACTGCATTCTGATATTTAACATACTACACAAATACAAAAAAAAAAAAAAACCCCAAACTCGATGCCGTCAAGTCGATTCCTACTCACAGCAATACTATAAAACAGAGTGGAACTTCCCTCATAGGGTTTCCAAGGCTGTAATCTTAACGGAAGAGCCCTGGTAGGGCAGCAGTTAAGCGCTTGGCTGCTAACCAAAAGGTCAGCAGTTCGAATCCACCAGCTGCTCCTCGGAAACCCTACAGTTGGAAGAACCCAGTATGAGCTGGAATCTGCTAGATGGCAACGGGCTTGGTGGTTTTTTGTTTTTCTTTTTTTTAATCTTTCTGGAAGCAGACTGCCACATCGTTCTCCAATGGAGCAGCTGGTGGGTTCAAACTGTCCACCTTTCGGTTAGCAGCCTTGTGCTTAACCACTGAGCCTCAAGGGCTCCCTCTTTATACAAATGGGTGCATGTAAATGCATATATGCATGTATAAATATATGCATAAATACATAACTATAAAAAAAAATATAAATAATACTCCGTTCAAGACCCTGATCCTCAATAGTTTCCCCCACTCCAATCATCTCTTCCCTTTAAACGCACGAAATATCTAATAAACATTGGTTACATGCTGCCTTAAGATGGCTTTTAAACTGTTAGCTCAATACCTAAGCTTTTTCATGTAATTATGCCTTATCACTCTTCCTAGATTACAGTCTTGCTTCTTGAGAATATGCACTGCCTTATTCTTGTTTTCTCTACAGTGCTTAGGATGGTGCCTTGAACATAGTCATGTAATAAACATTTGACTGATCTGCTAGAAGTACAAAAATTACTGGCAAAAAGTATGTCACATCCAAATTATCCAATTTGGTCTAATTATTACCAAGGAAATAGAAAAAAACATTAAAATTTTCTCTAACCTAATATACAAGAACTAGTTTATCTCATTAGAGAGCATCTGGATATTTACATATTTTATTACAGTTATCATACACAGTCTCCCATCCCCACCTGTCATTTTCAGTTTTTGACCTGCATACTTGCTAAAACTATCTTCTAGTTGATTTTGGTATCTTCCGCTGCTGTCAGGTACCTATATAATAATTTTATAATACTCTGTAATTAGTAAAATGAGTTAACGAAAGTCTCAAAAAATGGGTCACACAGATGTGTAATAAACACTTCTCAAAAGAACTTAATGTTTACCAACTACTAAAACAGACTCTTTACGTACAAGTTACGTGCTTATCTATTAATATAAACTTAGTTGGGAATACCTTATAAAACTAAGAGTCTTAATATCAGATATAATACAATTCTACTTTTGAATATTGACAGACTATAGGCAGATTTTCACCTTTACAATATTTTCATACCTGAAAATTTTGTAAAATGCAATATGACTTTTTCAAACAAGAGTGCAAAGTTGTAATACACAACTAACTCCACAACAGGTATTCTCATGGTTGAAATGACTAAAAGAAATGGTACATAATTCTAAAAGGGCAACAATCTGAAGACATGAAAATGGTGCACTTTTAAAGTTTTGTGCCATATATTCTACCACTATTAAAATAATCTGAAACACTTGATTTGTTTTTAAAAAACTAAATACGGAGAGGAGGCAATTAGATACTGTGGTAAAACATTACCATGTTGTGTTATTAGGTCAGACATCATGAAGCAGATAGAGCCATAGTTACCACTAAAAAAAACAGTCCTCAACTCCCTATTCAATAAAAAAGGATCAAATTCCACAGACAAAAATGGTACCCTGGGTTATTTGTTTTTAAGGAAGATTAAATTTAGGCGTTGCCAACACCCAAACGAAAAACATTCCAGAGTATTAGACTCAAATGTAGTGGAGAGTCATCTACATTCTCAGCACTATGTTCCCTTATCCAAAGCAGGAATATTAACAAAGGATGTTTCTCAGGATCTCACAAGATACACTCTACTTATTTACCACAGTAAACATTACCCTTGTTTTAAAAAAAAAAAAGTACTTGAGGAAATAATTTTAGCGCAGGCAGACAGACAAAAAGTGAAGTTTAATATCTGCCAAGATATTTCTCAAAATAAGGCCCCCGTCAGATGAACAGTGAGGAAAAGATTGAAGATGACAAATTCTTTTATTTGGATCATCAGCTAATTTTAAAAATAAATCTGAGGAATGCAGCTCTTCCAAAGCCTTGTCTTCAGCTTCCCCTTAACCTACATGTTTTTAACTAAAAAAAAAAAAAAAAACCTAGAAATTTGATGACCACTCTTATGAATTCCTTTTAAAGCAATTTAATGAGTAACAGATCTTTTGTGCAAGTAGCAAACCGCAGAGGAGTTTTGCTGGCTGATAAAAATCTCTCTGGAACACTCCTATAAAAACACATCCTACAAAGAAAAACTCTTGATTTTCCAGGTAAATCACAGTCAAGGCTTAAAAATTTGGGTATGTTTGATATACACCCTAATTTATTGCAAATGCTTTTATTTAAAACCACAAGTAAGGTTAGTAAATTCTTAATAGCTATTTACTAAATGTCAAACTTGAGTAAATCAGAAGGCCATGAGTAAAAAAATGTGAAACCTACAGAGCCAATGAGAAAAAAGATGGAGCTACTTTGGGTGAAACAAGATAGTTGAATCACTTCCCAAAACCGGTGAGCTACAAATTTTCATTTCGGATTGTTCTGTTTTGTTGGGGGTAAGGAGTCATACACTAAGTTAAAATGCTTCACCACTCTAATGGAAAATGCTCCTGCCTGCAGAAATGTTCAGACTGCCCCAAAACACCAAAAGGCAAAAAAACACCCAACGCTACCATAAGTGTGTTCCAGAATACACAGGGCCAAACACTTAAATACGAGGAGAGATCATCATTTAAACTAAAAGAACTGCTGGTTGCTACTGTGTCCCTACTGTCCTAAATATTACTCAGAAAAAAACTGTGTGTTGTGCAACACTATTTCCAAAAAAGTTGGTTTATATACGAATTAGTGCATACACTCCTTCGGAGTCACGGCAAAATAAAGGTAACTTGGATATTGCTAAAACCACATTTGCTTCACAGGTGCCATTAACCAGTGTCAAGACAGTAAGTAAAGATAAGTAATCTGATACCTTAAGATGGACACGTGGGAAACTAAATGGACTATATCATCATCATCACTAATCAATTTTTCTAACAGTTAAAACATAAACACAAGCCTAGGTAGGCAAGTCCTGGAGCCACAAGTTGTTTTTCCACCACTGTAAAGTAGCCTGGGTCAGAGCCCTTAGTCCGGATGTCCGAAAAGCACGTGTCCTAACTTTGGATTGGGGGAACTTCCCAGAAAGCATTTGTTCCAGAGTAAAACTCCATCACCCTCTGCCTGCATAACTCGGTGAAAGGATAAAAACAACGAGGTAGAGAGGGTAAACTCCGGACCCCGGAGACCGGGCTCGCCCTAGAAGAAGAGACAAGCAGGCCCGCCAAGGTCCGGCTCACCTCTGTCGCGGGGATGTTGACCACGCCGGTGGACCGCCGTTTCTCCCGCAGCTTTCTCTTCTCGATCTGCCCCTTGCCTTTCCTGGCGCTGGGGCCCGAGCTCTTGCCCTTCTCCGGGCCGCCGTCTCGCTCTTCCTCGTCGCCCCGGAGCGGCGGTGGCCCCGAGGCGGGGGCGGCGGCAGCAGGGGGCTCATCCTCGGGCCTCCGCGAACCCGGGACGGCCCGGGCCAGAGCCGCGGGGCCGACAGAGCAGTTCACGCCCCCGGGGCTGGGGGCGGCAGGTGCGGCGACGCTGGCCGGAAGGTTGTTGTTGAGCTCGTTGGCCACCGCTGCCGCCGAGGTGCCCAGCACCGCCGCTGGGGGCTTCCCGGCCGCGTCGCTGCTGCCCCCGCCCGTGGCAGCCGGGCCCGGGGGGTTCTGTTTGGCGCGCATCTTCTCGCGCTTCGCCTTCCACTCCTCCAGGAAGTCTGTGGTGCTGCCGCTGCTGGCCCGGTAGCCACCAGTCGCCATATTCCCAGCGGGGCCGGCAGAGCTCTCACCTCAGGCTGCCCACCCCCGCTCCAGCCGCCACCGCCTCTTCCTTCCCACGGCCAGGAGGATGCAAGGGAACGACCCCACGGCGCGGAAACAGCCGCGGCTCCCCCAGTAGCTGGCAGGTCTGAGGGAAGACACAAGAGGGGAGCGGGGAAAGGAAACGTGAGGTCCTAGCTCGGCCCGAGGGTCTCCTCCTCGGCCGTACCCCTGAGAGCCCCAGCAGAGCGCGCCCACTTCTCGACAGAAAGCGACTGCCGGGCCTCGACCCAGCAAAGTTTCTTCGACGCACCTACACGGCGGGCGGCTGGCTGCACCCTGAAGGGGATCGCCGCGCCTCGAGGGGAGGGGAGGAGAGAGAGATGACCCCACCCCCGAGGGCCCAGCCCCCGCCGCCCGCCCCTTTCTCACCAGGGTCAGCGCCTGCAGCGGTCGGGGGATCGAGACGAGACCTCGCCACCTGTCGGTCTATTTCACCGCCCGCCCCCTGTCTCCGGCCGCCGCCAGGCCGAAGTCCCCACTACCTATACCCCCATTGGGGAGAGAGGCACGGAGCCCCTCTCCGGCTCGGGGGGAAGGCGGGGACCCGAGCAGACACCAGCTGTCCGGCCAAGCCGAGGAGGTGGCAGGCGCCCGACGCCAGCGCGGGCGACAGGTCAACTCCTTACCTCGGAAGAGTTTGGGGTAACGAGCACGGAGCAAAGGGGCGGGGAGCGTGCCCAGGTGAGCCAAAGCGGCCGCGCAGTCCCCAGCCGGCGCGGAACAAGCCGCGGCAAACTCGCCGTCCCTTGCTCGCGGCTTTCCTGGGATAGGAGGGAGGGACAGAGTAAGAGCGAGGAGCGGGAGGGGAGCCGAAAGGCGCCGAAGCTCGAGCGGAAAGGCCCGAGGCGGCGCACAAGGGGCGCGGCGTAGACGGGGAGGGTCGTGCCGGCCGACGCCCCGCCCCCAGCGCTCAGGTGCGCGGCGCCGCGGTTGGGCCGCCGCTACTGCCCTCACTCGGCGCTCCGCGCCCGCCGTCCGCGGTTCGGACTACACATTCCTGGGCTCGCCGCCTCGGGGCGTCCAGCCCCTCGGCGCCTCCGACTCCGCGGCGGGAGCGGCTCTCCACGCCCTTCATCCCAGTCCTCTCCTCCGCCTTTCCCGTCTCCCACTACTCTTCCTTTTAAGTACAAGACCAGATTTTTCTAGTGAAAAGTCTTGATTGCTGCTGGCTGAGGGCGAAAGTGCAGTCAACTGGTGGTGATTCAGGGCCTAAATAGCCAGGATGGGGAATACCCACGCGTCCCTTTTCCTAGTCCTTGCTTCACTGAATTTCAGATGAACTAGGGTGGCGAACAGGAGAACGGAGAGAACCAAAACAAACCCAGTACCCTCTTTCTGAGAAGAATCTGTGGTTCCTTATGAAAGGCTTGGCTAAAAGGAGGCGCTTAAATTGTCGGCATAGGGTTTGCATTCATTCCTACCTAACTTGAAGGTTGGTGGTTTGAACCCACCCACCTTCCCAGGGAAGAAAAGGCCTGGAGATCTACTTCCTTAAAGATTACAACCAAGAAAACCCTATGGAACAGTTCTGCTCTGTAACACCTGAGGTCGTCGTGAGTCTGAATGACTCAATGGCAACTAACAACAACTATTATCTTAGGTTTGCAAGAAGAAAATTAAAAACTCATTTCTACAAGGTATTGTATTGGCTAACCCAGTCCTATTTGGAGTTTTCCTGTAAAATTAAAAACTCATTTCTACTATGTATTTATTGTATTGGCTAACCCAGTCCTATTTGGAGTTTTCCTGTTAGCCTTGTCTGTACACCTCCTCTTTACAGATAGTGAATTTAGCAGCAAACCTCCTTAGGGGAAGTACTAAAGCTGTACTGATGACGATTTGAGAGAAGCTAGGAAGGTGACTGTCTATATTTTTCCATCCTTAACATGTCAAAGGGTAAATCTTATCCTCAGATACAAGTCATCAAAAATCTCTGTATCAGGACTAGGTGAGCTGCTGCTGACAGGTACCTGAGAAGACTGACCTCACACTATTCAAGTAGTGCCAGAGCACATCATTGTTGTAGACTACAAATGCCAGGTCACCATTTTGTAAAAAGTAGGAGAGCCCTGAGTCACTCTATTACCTAACAGATCTTTCTTCCTACTTAATATGCCTGTTTTGCTTAGGTGGCACATGTGGGTGGGCAGTCAGTGTGTGCCTGAGACAGGGATCAGAAAAGGAGAAAGTGATTCACATGCTATTTATTTCGGAGGGAAAGTCACAATCCTGGTCTTTGCTTTGAGGTAAACATATGGGTAACTGTGAGAGAGCTCTGGAATACTCATTGGAAAAATAAAGGCCTCTTTGAGAATAGTTTTTAAAGGCTGGATATCTGATTGCCTAGCTGGTATCACAATGGGTGCCACAACCGAAATTCCTCAATTGCAGATTCATTATTTTCTGATTTTTAAAGAAGGGAAGGGGTAAGGGTTGAGTATTAAACATAGTCACAGTAACCTTTGTAACTTATCAGAGGATTTTCTCTTGGGAGCCTGTGCCATATAGTGAAAAGAACATATAGTCAGCCTGGACACAAACATATATTAAGTAACTGAAAGAGCTTGGGTATTTTATTTACCTTCTCTGAAACTAAGCTTTCTTTACTACAGAATCAGCAATAACAACACATATTTTTGAGCTGTTACAACAATTAAGTGATACTGCATGTGAATGCAAGAAAGGTGCCCTCAGTAAACATAGTCCCTTCTATTAACAGACTATCAAACAGAGCCATGGGTCTCTAAAAAGTGTGCGGGTAGAGGCAGGCAGGCAAATAAGATGAGTGTTACTGAATATACGATATTAACTTGAAAACAGTAGACTTATGAACTAGGATAATACCTATGCCACATAAACATTTATTACTGCATCTCTGAGACCAGGTGTCTTAGTATTTAATAGACTGAGTCAGGAATGTTGGCCACTACTGACTTGTGTGGCTTTGGGCAAGTTACTTAACTTTTGTGCCTCTGTTTACTTATGTATAAAATGGGGATAATAATACTTCCTACACTGTGAGACTGTTGTGAAAGTGCTTGTGGTCCTTAGATAAAAGATTGTCTGTGAGTACCAGGGTAGTTATTATTAGTCTATAAAATGCCCTAGGAACCATGGATGAAAGAGATTATTGGGGTACAAAGCACAAATATTGTTATTGTTTGGATGAAAGAGATTATTGGGGTACAAAGCACTATGTATTGTTCTCATTTATTATACCTTTTTTGTCTTCATCTTACCATTCTTAATATTCCCAAAGATATATTTCATCCAGACTGCTTCCAACATTGCACCAAGGTGTTTAGCTGAGTGAGCCTTCAATTGCAAGATGTTTGCATATTCTTAATCTCATGTATAGCATTCTGATTAAATAATCCTCAAGACTCTGAGCTTGGTTTCTCAACATCAGCACTATTGACACTTGTGGCTGGATAATTCTTTGTTGTGGGAGGCCATCCTGTGCATTGTAGAATATTTAGCAGCATCCTTGGCCTCTACTTACTAGATAACAGTAGCACACTCCCCCAAGTTGTGACAACCAAAATTGTCTCCAGACATCGCCAAATGTCTTCTGGGGGACAAAATCATCCCAACTTGAGAACCTCCAAGCTAGCCTAAAATAGCTAATTTTTATGACCCACTTGACCTTAATAAAAGGAAATATGATGATGCTAACAAAAGATTCATTTTAATATGTCAGAATACTTATTCTAAATGGTAAGTCTTAATGTTTTCCAGGCAGTGAATTAGCTATGAAGTGAAATAGCCTGTTTGGACATGGTGAAATAATTAATAGCATATTGGGAAATAGCCATTTTGCCTTTAGTGTAAATATTTCTGGAGCATATGCAATCCATCCTCTTTTTTTTTTAAATTAAAATAATACACATACATAGTTTTAAAAATCAAACACTTTAGTTCTACAAAGATTATAACAAAAAACAGCAATTACTTCCCTACCCTCCCCACTCCCAGAACTTTGACACTCTTGGCTGTTTCTGCTAATATAGTCTTCATATCTGTTTTTTAAAATATGCTTATCTGCTATTTTACTTCTTAATTTTCCAATTTTTAGATATCCTTTATTGACTTCATAATGCAGAAGAAAAGGAATTAGCTCTTTCACACCAATTAAATATATACTTTTCTTACTCCAAACTCCCATTTATACTTATATCATGATTTTTATTCAAAGAGTTTACAGTATTATGACTATGCAGATATTCAAAGCTGAGACATGTAGTGTACGTACTATGATTGCTTTTCTTTCTTTCTCATTTAACAGCTTTTTTTCCTTGTTGCACAGCTATTTCTTTTCCTGGAGTTAAAATTGGCCTTTTTTACCATTTATTTTTCTATATTGCTGTTAAGTGCTATCAAGTTGATTCTGACTCGTAGTGACCCCATGTGACACAGTAGAATTGCCCCATAGGGTTTTCTAGGCTGTAATCTTTACAGGAACAGATCACCAAGTCTTTTTTCCCACAGAGCTGCTGCATGGGTTTGAACCACCAACCTTTAGGTTAGCAACTGAGCACTTAACCATTGCACTACTAGGGTGCCTTATTTTTCTATATAACCAAAATCAAACCAAATCCATTGCCACGGAGTCAATTCCGACTCATAGCAACCCTATAGGACAGAGTAGAACTGCCCCGCAGGTTTCTAAGGAGCAATTGCTGATGGCCAACCTTTTGATTAGTAGCTTAACCACTGTGCCACCAGGGCTCCATTTTTATATATGCCAGCCACAAATTTATATCCTAACTCTCCTCCCTTAAATGTAGTTAAAACACATTGGGTAATTTATTAGTTTTACAGCTCTTTTTCTTGGAGGCATTCTTCCTGGAGCCCTCCATCTTCTCGTCTAATCTTGACTGATTGTTCTCCAAACTCCTTGCTCAGTGGTCATCCTGAGAATTCCTTTCCTATATGGATCCCTTGTTTCCTGAATCCCATATTTTACTCTTTCTTGTTTTGTTTTTTGCCCCCCCCCCCCCCCATTTTAGCGGAGTACATCCTCAGTATATTC